GAAAGCAAACACAAGATGTACGTGGTTCACCCAGATTGGCTACGTCCACGGAATAGAGGAGTTCTCATTAATTGTGAAGGGTTTACCCAAGTACATAGGTTCAAGCTCTCCTTTAGTGAGTACAAGTGAATGATTTAGTACAAATGACATTAGAAAATATTGTGGGAGAATGATCTCGTAACCACGAAACTTAAGTACCGGAGTGTGGTATCGTCTTGACTTGCCTTATCTGTCTCATAGGTAGATATGGCATCTTCTCTGGAAGTACTCTTCCTCCATCCAGGGGTGGTATCTGTAACTGGTGGAGATGCACAAGGTAATGTATCAATTTCACTTGAAGCTTACTTGTAGTTTCAGGCTTGGTCAAGCGCGATACAAACCATGTAGTAGGAGTCCCCCAAGTCGCCGAGCTAGGGTATCTGCTGAAAGAGGTGACAGACAAGGTAAGCAATCAGAGCTCCGGCTGATTGTTCACATTCTCCCTATCTTGCAGGCAGCATGAAGGATAAAGAGAAGAAAAATGAGAAGAGATGATATGGGATACTTTTGCTTTTGAAGAAGTAACTTTCCACAGGCTTATTCTTGAACTGGGCTGGAGGGTTTTCTGGTTTCCTCCAGAGTATAAGGCCGACTGAAGAATTTGAGGGTCAAAACAAGTCCATCAAATCTAAAGTACGTTCGACCCTGCTGATATGGGATACTTTTGCTTTTGACAGAGTAGTGGATGTATCGGCACGTGTGCTGTTACGCTTGTCTCCACATGCTTCCTTGTATCCTTCTCACTTGCCTTAGCTGTTCCTCAGGCAGATGTGGTATCTTCCCTGGAAGCCTAAGATGTTGAAGATGAGTACTCGAGAGCAATGCCAGGTAAGTAATTCCAGGCAGTCAGTTCCTGGCTGGAAGCTTGATTCCAAGTGCTGACTGATTGCTCTCTTTCTCCTTGTCTTGCAGGTGAGAACAAGGCCAAAGGAAAAGACAGGGAAAAAGCATGATATGGGATACTCTTGCTTTTAACCCTGATGATATGAGATATTCTTGCTCTAGTATAGCTTGTTTACAGAGGTATTATCGGGGGGAAAGAAAGCTGAAAATTTCGAAAGGCTTCGTTGGGAGTGCCCTCTCAGATAAGAGGAAGGGTTGAGCATTTTTGCAGGTCTGCCTGTCCGTTGGGGATGGAGGTCGACATATATAGGAGTCTCCCTAACATCAAGTAATAATGCTATTCCTTTACCCTGCTTGGTCATAGCACGGTAGTGGGAGCTGTCAGCTTCACATGTTTTAACTCTGTCAGAGCACTTTGAAAAAGTGGTCTGTGGTATCTGGAAAGCTGATGTTGCGTGTGAAGATTACAGACAAGCTTTATCCAAGGAGATCCAGCTCTTGAAGTTGGGAAAGTGGTGCCTCTTCGGTTTTCGAACAAACAATCCTGTCGGGGATCTGGCTTTCTAGATTCGGAGAACGATGCCTCTTCGATTTTTGAGAAAGCAATCATGCTGGGGGTCTGGCTCTCGAGATTCGGAGTGCGGTGTCTCTTCGATTTTTGAGAAAGTAATCATGTTGGGAGTCTGGCTCTCGAGATTCGGAGGATGGTGCCTCTTCGATTTTGGGGCAAGCAATTTTGTTGGGAGTGTTTTCTCGAATGTGAGTAAAGGTTGGGCATGTTTGCTAGTCTACCTTGCCACGAAGCACAAAGGTTGACACACAGGGACTTTCCAATTATCCAGCAGTGGTACTGTTCCTTTACCCTCTCTTCGATTTTTGAGAAAGTAATCATGTTGAGAGTCTGGCTCTCGAGATTCGGAGGGCGGTGCCTCTTCGATTTTGGAGCAAGCAATCTTGTTAAGAGTGTTTTCTCGAATGTGAGTAAAGGTTGGGCATGTTTACTAGTCTACCTTGCCACGAAGCACAGAGGTTGACACACCGGGACTTTCCAATTATCCAGCAGTGGTACTGTTCCTTTACCCTCTCTTCGATTTTTGAGAAAATAATCATGTTGAGAGTCTGGCTCTCGAGATTCGGAGGGCGGTGCCTCTTCGATTTTGGAGCAAGCAATCTTGTTGGGAGTGTTTTCTCGAATGTGAGTAAAGGTTGGGCATGTTTGCTAGTCTACCTTGCCACGAAGCACAGAGGTTGACACACCGGAACTTTCCAATTATCCAGCAGTGGTACTGTTCCTTTACCCTCTTTTCGATTTTTGAGAAAATAATCATGTTGAGAGTCTGGCTCTCGAGATTCGGAGGGCGGTGCCTCTTCGATTTTGGAGCAAGCAATCTTGTTGGGAGTGTTTTCTCGAATGTGAGTAAAGGTTGGGCATGTTTGCTAGTCTACCTTGCCACGAAGCACAGAGGTTGACACACCGGGACTTTCCAATTATCCAGCAGTGGTACTGTTCCTTTACCCTTGTGGGTAATAATATGGTAGCTAGACCTTCAAAATTTATGTGTCTAAACTTTGGTAGTGTTGTTTCTTTGCTATTCTTTTACCCTTCTTGGTCAGAGCAATGTAGTGGGAGCTGCAAGCTTCACGTGTCTCAACTTTGTCAGAAAACTTTGGCAAAGTTATCTGTGGTACCCATGAGCTACTGTTGCGTGTGGGAAGTGGGTGATTGAACAGTACGATTCATGTGCTTTCTACTTCGCCAGAAATCTTCGACAGAATGCCCATAATTTCCGCAAAGCTGAGTGAGCGTGTGACAGGTGCTGACGAGGCTGGAAAAGTAGGTGCCTCTTCGATTTCTGAGATCGGCCCTCGTGGTCTCTGAGCAGCCCAGCTTTTGAGAAAGCAAGCCTCTTCGATTTCTGAGATCGGCCTTCGTGGTATTTGAGCAACCCAGCTTTTGAGAAAGCCAACGCCTATTCGATTTCTGAGATCGACCCTCGTGGTCTCTGAGCAGCCCAGCTTTTGAGAAAGCAAACGCCTCTTCGATTTCTGAGCAGGCGCCTCTTCGATTTCTGAAGTTTCGTCGAGTGCAGATTTTTATAGGGGCTGACATTAAGTTCCAAAGCACACTTGAATATCCACCAGTAGAAGCTCCATTCTTGCACTTCTAAGATCTTGATTTGTCCGACCTCTTCTCTCTTCAACACCTTTGAAAATGTCTGGCCCCTCCGACCGTCGTTTTGACTTGAACCTTGTTGAAGAGGTAGCCCCGCCTTCTCCAGACAACATATGGCGCCCATCCTTCGTCTCCCCTACTGGTCCTCTTACCGTTGGGGATTCCGTGATGAAGAATGATATGACCGCTGCGGTAGTGGCCAGGAACCTTCTCACTCCCAAAGATAACAGACTACTTTCCAAACGGTCTGATGAGTTGGCTGTTAAGGATTCTCTGGCTCTGAGTGTTCAGTGTGCAGGTTCTGTGTCTAATATGGCCCAACGCCTATTTGCTCGAACCCGCCAAGTTGAATCATTGGCGGCTGAAGTGATGAGTCTCAAACAGGAGATTAGAGGGCTCAAGCATGAGAATAAACAGTTGCACCGGCTCGCACATGACTATGCTACAAATATGAAGAGGAAGCTTGATCAGATGAAGGAATCTGATGATCAGGTTTTACTTGATCATCAGAGATTTGTGGGTTTGTTCCAAAGGCATTTATTGCCTTCGTCTTCTGGGGCTGAACCGCGTAATGAAGCTCCAAATGATCAACCTCTGATGCCTCCTCCTTCTAGGGTTCTGTCCAGTACTGAGGCTCCGAATGATCCCCCTCCGGTGCCTTCTCTTTCTGGGGCTCTACCGACTGCTGAGACTTCTTCTAAGCAACCTTTGTGAAGGCTCCCTCTTGTTTTGTTTATTTTGACTCAAGTATATGTACATATTTGTAACTTGATCGGGGATATCAATAAATAAGCTTTCCTTCATTTCAACGTATTGTGTTAAATACACCAAAGCCTTCTTCGCTAAGTTCTTTGAATTTTCTTTTGTTGAAGCTTGTATGTTGAAGCTTTGTGAGTGGAGCATGTAGGTTGAGGTAGTGTTCCCTTAATTTCCCGAGTGAGGAAAACTTCTCGGTTGGAGACTTGGAAAATCCAAGTCACTGAGTGGGATCGGCTATATGAATCTTAGAACGCCATTGTGTTCTGTCCTGTGTCATGTCCTCCGTTAGATCCAAGTACTCTAAGTCTTTTCTTAGGGTCTCTTCCAAAGTTTTCCTAGGTCTTCCTCTACCCCTTCGGCCCTGAACCTTTGTCCCATGGTCGCATCTTCTAATCGGAGCGTCAGTAGGCCTTCTTTGCACATGTCCAAACCACCGTAACCGATTTTCTCTCATCTTTCCTTCAATTTCGGCTACTCCTACTTTACCCCGGATATCCTCATTCCTAATCTTATCCTTTCTCGTGTGCCCACACATCCAACGAAGCATCCTCATCTCCGCTACACCCATTTTGTGTACGTGTTGATGCTTCACCGCCCAACATTCTGTGCCATACAGCATCGCCGGCCTTATTGCCGTCCTATAAAATTTTCCCTTGAGCTTCAGTGGCATACGGCGGTCACACAACACGCCGGATGCACTCTTCCACTTCATCCATCCAGCTTGTATTCTATGGTTGAGATCTCCATCTAATTCTCCGTTCTTTTGCAAGATAGATCCTAGGTAACGAAAACGGTCGCTCTTTGGTATTTCTTGATCTCCGATCATCACCCCTAACTCGTTTTGACCTCCATTCTAAGCCATATATAGGCAAACCATCTTTTGTTGAAAGAGATTATGAGTTTAAATTATATCCACAGCAAGATTTTAAACAATAACACATAACATTCCATAATCTAATATACATATTGTTCTACATAAATATGCGAGCTAAATATGAAGTTCCTAAATATATTGTGCAATGCTGAGGGTCCATTTTCAATAATATATTGAAGAAAGAAAGAAGAGGAAAAGGATATAATTTGACCGACCATAAACTATCATGCATGGTAGCTAATATACATATATTTTTCTATAATCACACACTGTTGGGGGGGGGGGGAAGGGGAAACGAAATACAACGAAAACAGAAAAGAAAGCAAGATCATGGAGAAATATGCAGGAAGCTCTTATATTGCAGGTGCAGCTTAAATTGTACTTAAGTTGGTCTTGAAACCTGCATTAACAAAACATTTGACGACTTAATCAGCAGTTTTACCATTAACTACAAGATAGTTTGAGAGTAATATACTAAGAAAATATATAACAGAATCGGTGGAGTTGAAAAAGGAAAATAGTTTGCATACAAATATAAGTTTTTTTTGGAAGACAAATCAATTAATTAAAATCAAAATACAATCTAACATACAGTTTTAATGAAAAAAAAATCATATCTAACCATGGAAATCTGAATAAAAAAATCGATTAAGCTAGAAGACTTCGTTCTTAAAATATTCCCAAGGGTATATGAAATCCAACTATATAAAGAAGGGGAAAGAGATGAGAGATTTTTCAGTGTGACCGGTACACGGGATAGTACACCACATGTCACTATACAAATGGTAGGATATGTGTGCTAAAAAGTTAATAACTTAAAAAATAAATTTTATCACCACTTCTATTAAAACACGTGGTGTAGCATTTGTGTTCCTGTTACAACTAAAAATTTCTGGAAAGAGAGAGAGAGGTTCTTTCTTGGACTCCGAAATGTCTCTAATATCATATTCCCCATTGAACAAAGAGTGTTAGAGCGATGATGTTAATGCAACTTGGTAATTATATAAGCTAGATTTGAACATAAAGGGTACACTTAATTTGCAAAGAACAAAATGGTTAGCGGTATACAGAAGAATGTAAATTCATTAATATAAGTCATGAGAGAGAGAGAGAGAGAGAGTACCAGGAAATAGCTTTCACCAGACTCCAAGCTGTGTGCCAAAAAACCAAATTCATTGATTGGAAGTGGGAGTCCAGAGGAATGAACCAATAGCACATCTTGTCCAAACACGGCTTTCATGTCAAGTGGCCCGTTGGGAACTTCTGTTGGAATCCCATTAATAAACACTGTGATGAGACCTGAAAATAGATTAATGGACCCTTCATGTTTTCAGTACTTCTTGTAATAGCTAAGCTTCTTAATTTGATTTCTAAGAGAAAGATATGATATTCATAGAGGGGTCAAGAACTCATACGAGAGCTACGATAATTCTAAAACAAAGTGAAGGTCATTGGGAACAACCTTGCCAGAACTTCCAACCCGTGTTCAAGGAAAAGGGGCTGCGGCAAATTAACAAATCCTTAATTAAAAAGGACATTAGACACTTGATTTGATTAGTACTTGTATTAAGTCCTTGAGGATGATTCATTAAAAAAATGCAGATGTCCTTCAGGTTTCATAATATAAAGATCCAAAGGAACACAAAAAGGCTTTTTTACAAGAAAAATATCACATAATCTTTAGGGCACACAAAAGCAGAATATTTTCCTTATAATTATCTGTTACAAAACTTAACGAATATCTTTCATGAACTAACAATGAAGTTTTTGGATTGGGGTAAAATCATTAAATTTATATTATTATCAAACAATAATTAATGTATTTGCGGTACTCTTGCTCTTTTTCGTTTTTTTTTTTAAATCCATTTCAATTACCTAAAAAGGTTTACACTGTTTCTTTGCAAAGTTTTCTTCAAAGTAATCTGAAACCGAGTGGAAAAGACTGCAACAAAAAGGAATTTACATGGACTTATTAGGGGAAGCTGCAACTTTCATACAATTCAAATACAATTCAAACAAGAACTGTCACGTCAATAAAAACTTGCTACTAAATTATATACTTTGTCGTTCTCATACTAATTGTGAACCTATGGAACTTCAACAGTATATAATATTACTCAACAGAATCGAAAAAAATTGCTCTTAAGAAAATTGAATACAAGTTCACGAAAAAAGATAATGGGCTAATTATAAGCTTAAGTCCAGCTTTAGGAACTGACATAACAAATTAAACTTATGGAAGAAATGGAAAACTCATTAAATTCGAGCTCAGATGAGAGGATGTAGTTATATAATATATAGTTTTATTAAAAAGAATTTGTAAAAATTAGGGACACGTTCCGTGCAATTACCAGATTGGAAGTGCAAATTTGAGGTATCAGAAGGGCCTCCTCCTAACACAGACGTTACCCCGGAGCTCTGCTCGATTTCCGGAAACCCCATTTGATCAGAAACAGAAAAGAACTGATCACCAACGCAATCAATACTATGATGAACATCATGATCTGCTATCAGATGTTGACCACAAGACGAAGATGAAGAGCCCACAAGAAAATTATTAGGAGAAGCTCCGAAAGCCAAAGGAGGAGCAGCAGTAGGAACACAGCAGCTTACTCCATATTGAATTGCACCACCCACTTGGTGTTGAGAAAGAGAAGCCATTTGATTATTGTTTATATTATAATTGGTTCTTTGTTCAAGGCTGGCCTGCAACTGCCGTTGTCGGCGGCGAGATCGCGACCGTCGGTTTTGGAACCAGTAGAAAACGTTGGCATCCCCAACGGAGCCAAACTTCTCAAGCAGTTTCCTTATTCTCACAGTTTCTTCTTTGGGAGGATTCACCATTCCACTGTTGAAAATTGACTCCAGAATTAGGATTTGCTGTGGCTTCGGTATCCATCTTGACCTCACCGGCTCAGGGCTTCTCTTGGTCGAGCCGTTGCTTGGACTGCTATCGTTAGGGTCTTGGCCTTGATGATGATCTTCCATATATTCCGTTAGGGTCGTGGTCTTTGAAGCTGCTGAAACCTAGGTTGAATGAGAAAACTAAAAAAATTATAAAAGAGAAAAATGTACATATGAAAACATAGTAAACCTCTTCAAGGAGGTTTGAGGGGATATATATATAGGGCTCAAAGAACATATTGATTGATTAGATTACTATAAATTAAATTACATTATTGCCCTTCGCAATTTTTTATTCCCGTCTACGGAGAAATAATACTATCGGACAAGAAAATACATAACGAATAATCCTAGAGAGGTCATGTTTTAATAGGAAACTTGAAACCATCAAACATTAATAACTTTGATGCGAGATGGTGTGAGTTGATTTTTTAACAGGAAACTAGAGAGCATCAAACATGTGGTGCATGTGATGGAAGTTAGTAGTGCGTAACTGAAGAATGAAAAGATGAAAATATGCGAGAGATAAAATAGAAAATGAAGTAAATTATAAATATAAGCAATCTCAGTTTGAATGAGAAAAATAATCATGAAATATACAAAAGGCATAATTTTTAAAGTGACATGAATCAAATTAATAAATAAACACAAAAATTTAGAAATTTTATGTGAAAAACAAAATTTGGAGCATAATTCTCAATTTTAAATTTTATCTTAGTTGTCATTTCTAAAATTACATAAAAGTGAGAGCTGAAAAAACGACCATATGTATGTCACCATCACCACCAACAAACATATGTATGTCACCATCGCCACCACTACTACAATGCCCACAACCATTACCATTATCACCACGACACACCTCCCCCCCCCCCCATTTTTCACTTAGCTATCAACCTTTATAGGGGCCGGGAAAACTCACAAAGACATTTTAGCCTCCCCTGGCCGCCATCATGCGATTCACCAACGCCAGATATCGAACTCAGGACGTGCCGTGTGCAATATGGGCTTGGAATTCGTCCCCAACCACTGGATCACCCTGTGATGGTTCATTGTGCACTCTTCATAAGTGTATTTTTATTTCTCAATATAAAATTTTTAAAGTGCACAATAAATTTTTAGAATGGCAATAACATAATTCTATCGTAGAATTTGTTAGCACTTGAAAATTTCCTCGTTCAAACAAAGGGTAAATAATAAATTTGTTAATATAGGTACAAATAAAAAGTACAAATATTAGTATAGCTCCAGATACAATATTTGCTTATGGTATATCTCTCTCACTATAGATTCTTCAGTGCTCGGAATACGGGATGATACACCACGTGTCACTATACAAGTGGTGAGATACTTGCGTTAAAATTTTAACAACTTAAGAAATAAACTTCCTTCCACTTATATAATAAAACATGGAGTATCACACGTGTTTTGGGCACAATAAAAAAAATCCTCATTCACAGCCCAAATCTCTCTTAAATTACTCATTCTTCTCATGGAACTTCTCGAATTGCAGCCATCTTGGTAAAAAAACACAAAACAAAACTGTAGCTCTCTCAAAGAAATGATGAAACAACTTGGAACGAGCTATATGGTACTTGTTAGGGATTTTATTGCTAACCTAGGATTGGACACACCAAGTTCATCAAATAAAATATTTATATGAATAATATTAGTCTTAGTATATTTTATACCACATGATGCAATTAGGAACGTATAAAGGTCACATCAATTAATAATTTTATCTCATTAAATTTTGATTTATATTATTAGAGCATCTTTAAAGGAGATGTTAAAATCAAAACATCAAATTTCAATTTGATGTCTGACTTGGCAATTAGACATATTGTCAATATTTTCTTTTCATCCGATATGCCAAAATTTATTGCTTCATTTATGTTTTTTTTAAATAAAAATAATAAAGTTAAGGTTGTTGTTGATTTAAAAATAAAAAATAAAAAATACTTAAATATGCTAGCATTTAAGGTAAGGCACGTGGAATGCCTTTGTAAATAGCAAAAACCATATTTGATGTCAGCGTCAATTTTGACATCTCTTTGTCTATGTCAGCTTAGCCTTCTTTTTCATGTCAGTCTAGACATCTCGGTTGGAGTAAATGGTACACTATTTGTTACCGTTATATGTCTATGTGACATTTTTTACATCTCATTTAGAGATGGTCTTAGATTTCAACTAAATATATGACATCGTGTATACTTATATCCTATTTTACATTTATGAGAAATCTAAATGAGATTCTACGCAACGAGAAAGATGTAAATCTAAGGTCCCATTTAATTTTTTCTCATTGGTTGGCAGGACCCACTACCAAAAGATGTAAAAAATGTAACTTAGGTTTTTATTTATATTTTCTGGCCAAGATGGATGTTATACATCTCTCCATTGGAGAGTTTTTCAGCCAACTAAAAATGTAAAATGCATACATTTCAAGACAATTTATATCTCCCAGAGTAGAGATGCTCTTACTATAAATTAGTGTAAAATATCCAATATCGTTTGAGGTTCAAATTCTCTCATTCTTCTTAGGATATATAATAGTATAGAGTATCACTTCTAATAAAAAAAAATGTGACAAATATATAATAACCTTAGGATTACTTACACGATTTTAATCGTTCAACCAAAATTTAGATACGCTCAAAAGGGTCGACCTTGATCCTCTAGTACTGTAAAAGGAGATAAAAATATACGAAAAACTAGACCACTCAAACCTCGTATCCCAACTTCTCTAAATAGAGAACCCCAATTGCAATAGAAAACGATTTTTTGCAATGCTATAAGATAAAGAAACCCTCAGTTTGATAAACACAAACTTGGGAGTTAGACACGAACTCCTCCACTAGTTGCACACATTCATTGAGGAGGTAAATGAATACAGTACAAGCCTTCTTCAAATTGTTCACCGACCCTAAACGGAGGCAATCTTTCAAAATTCTTTAAAGAGAACAACAAGATCAACTCCTGCGTCCATCTCTGAATGTTATTCTCCAATGGGATGGCCTCTATATGCATATATATGACATGCAATTCACCAAAAGAAAATACAAAACTTTTACATCTTTCCACTCAGCTCCATTATAATAAATACTTAAAAATAAATAATAAAGTAATATTGTTCTTCACAAAATTATAGCAAAAAAAATAATATACCCACATAATTATTAACATATTTAAAAAATAACTATTGATATATTTTAAAAACATAAAATAAATACATATAATTAGCATGGGTACATTTAGCAAAATTAAAAATGGGTACAAATAAATTAAAAATATGGGTACAAATGCAAATAAAAGTTTAAAAAATATGGGCACAAAAAGAAATTAAGATATGGGTACAAATTAAAACTAAAAATAAAATTGGTACAAATTAAAAAAGGGTTTGCAAATTAAAAATGGGTACAAACTAAAATGAAACTATATGATTAAAAATTTAGCCATAAATATAAATATACCATATGTAACATTTCTAACAATAAATGAATATATTTAGAAATATAAAATATTTTGTTATTGAAATAATTAATGACGTTTATTAAAACCTAAGGACTTGGATCAAAAATTAAAAAGGAATAAGGTTTTAATCAATGGAATAGTAAAAAGAAGGATGAGAACCTAATTTCTCCTTTTTCTTGATCCCATCTTAAGGAAACATGCATCTACATAGTAATAATTGTCATTGAGTACAAACATATACAATATCACAAATAAAAGTCTAAGATAAATTAAATATTTCTCTAAAGCTATTTAGGACAATGCTTTAGTTTTTAGAGATGATGTCATGTTTTTGAGTTTGCGGGTATACATATACGCAAGAAATAATAAAATACTTAGAGCACAATGAAACCTATTTAGGAATAATATATTTTTTTAATTACACTTCTATTGAGTAATAACTTCCCTAAAATTTTCAAATTGATTTGGCCCTAACTTTATGACTTTATAGAGATTTTACCATTGTTGCTTCCAATTGTGTTTTTTCCTATATACATTATCATTAAAAAAAGTTAGAGTTAAACATATTAGTTTCACTCAGTTTTAAAATATTGTACTTATAAAACAATATAATATGTAAAGAGAACTGTTCAGTAAAAAAGCTTCAATTCCTAGTCAATAGTAACATGATCATGATAGCTATCATAATGTTAGAGGAATGCATTGAATAAAGTATATAGATGAATAAAACATAATAGGCTAAATAAATATTTAATAAAAAAAATGATAAGTGATTCCAAAAAGTGAAAGGAAAAATTCATAAATCTTTTTGGAGAAGTTTGAAAGAGAGTTCGTGTGACAGCCCGTCCTAAACGTATATATTATTTTATCCTCGAGAGCGTGGAAATTGCTATTATGCCCTTTTATCGTTGAGTTGTGTGTGTGTATAAGCTAAGGTTTTGGACCAATTAATTCATTTCCTAAAGATTTGGACCTAGTTGGAACTTAAGATTTTGTTTGTTTTTGTTTGGTGACCAACTAGGACCACACACACACACCAACCAATCCCGTTGACCCTTCTCTCTTTCTCCTTCCCTCTCAGACTTCTTTCCATTTCCGTACAATTGTACAGATAGATTCCAAACCAACCTTTGCAGGCACATATCGAGAGAGACTGTGAAGGTGGTTTTCTAGTTCCTTGCAAGTCCAGGAGTTGATTCATACCTTTAGTTGGTCGTGAGAGCTTGTAGAACTTGAGTTACCCGGACTCCGGCGAGGGGTGATTTTTCCTCCGACGTGATCGCAAAGGTTTTAAGTGGTTTTGAGACCTAAGAAGGTATTATTCTTGCTTTTCTAGCACGTTGGATCAATTTTGGAGTGGTTTTGACGTAAGAACAATTGGGTTTATATAGTTGCAGGGTTTGGCCGGTTTCCTCGAGTTTTTCCAACGAGTTTCTGTTGAATTTAGGTCCCCAAAGTGGTAAGAATGTGTTCTACTCGTTGTAAGCTTCATTTTGGTACAAATTTCATCGATTTTGGTTGAGAAATGGAAGAGATATGAAGCTTTAAAATTTTTCCAGAATCCGTCGATCGCAGTGGTGACCGCAGCCAAACTCCGGTGAACCAAGGAAGAAGGAGGAGAATATTCCGTCAAAGTTGACAGAATATTCTAACAGTGTCAGGTATCTTTAACAGCATATTCTAATATTTAACGGAATATTCCCTAATGCCATTAGGGAATCTGTCAGTG